CATATCAAACAAACCCAGCAAAAAAGTAAAGAATAGAATAAAGTTTTAATTTCAGACTGACTAACCTTTTCATTGATAACCCACATTATTACTCTCATCTTGTTAAGCTTGCAAAGAAGAAAGTCCGACTCTTTGGTACCTTTGGAAATGAAGAATGAATCAAACTCTCTAAGAACCCTTCACACAAACGTTTGCGATTTCTGAAAAATAATTAATTTAAAATGAGATGACCTTATAATATTCATTCAATGGACGTCGAATCGGTTTTCTCCTTTTTTTGTGCACTTTTTTTTCTTCTGCTTTCAAACATGTCGTGTCACACGGTGACAAGCCATGCTGTCTGACACACACATGGCGTGTCACAGATTCTCTTAGTGGCGTGTCACAACCCTGAACACTGTTGTGTCATAAACGTCTTTCACTGTCGCGTCACCAACTCTGAACACTAGCGTTTCACAGATTCCCTCCATGGTGTGTCACAAACCCTGAACCCTGTCGTGTCACAGATTCCCTCCATGGTGTGTCACAAACTCTGAATACTGTAGTGTCATAGATTTCATCCATGCCGTGTCAAACTCTGAACTCTGGCGTGTCACAGATTCCGAAGTTTGTGTCACCAACTCTGAACATTGGCATGTCGCAGATTCCCTGCATGGCGTGTCACAAACCATGAACCCTGTCGTGTCACAGATTCCCTCCATGCCATGTCAACCTCTAAACTCTGACATGTCACGGATTCCCTCCATGTCGTGTCACCAACTCTGAACACTGGCGTGTTACAGATTCCCTCCATGGCGTGTCACAAACCCTGAACCCTATCATGTCACAGATTCCCTCCATGGCGTGTCACAAACTCTGAATACTATCGTGTCACAGATTCCATCCATGCCGTGTCAAACTCTGAACTCTAGCGTGTCACAGACTCCCTCTATGCCGTGTCACAAACTATGAACTCTGGAGTGTCACAGATTCTCTCCATGGTGTGTCACAAACTCTAAACTCTAGAGTGTCACAGATTCCCTCCATGGCATGTCACCAAACTTTGAACCTTACCGTGTCACAGCCTTGTCACACATTCCCACCATACCGTTTCATGCCACATTCTCTGTCGTGTCACATATTATCACAATATCAACTCACATATTCCCTCCGAGTCGTGTCACAAACTCTAAACCTTGCCGTGCCACAGCCGTCTCACATATGCCCTACTGTAGCACGACGATTTCGTGCTTTGGATTCACATCTTTCTCCTTCCAATTCACCATCATATCACGGATTTTTTGTTGCACATCATCCTCGGAGATTTCGATTCACCGGGACCGGTTCTGAATGCCATATCCGAAATATCTGAAAAACCTTCTCATGCAACATTATTTTGGCCCTCGCACAAGCTTAGATAAAAAAAAATGGATGTTTTGCAGAAAATTAAAAGTTCATAAATTATTTGCATATTTATCTATTTATTTCTCAAATTTTTTTGTGTTTGATGGTGCGCCTCAACGAATGTCTCATT